AGAGATTCTCCGTTTATTGGAGCTCTTCAGATCGTGCCTTCTTGGAAAAAGAGCAGTCCTCGGTGTTGCCAAGCGCACTAAGGAAAACATCCATGAATTTCAGAAGGACACGTATCAGCTTGGCATTTTGACGTTGAACCTTGGTCACATCAACCGTATTCCGTATATCGGAGGTTGTTAAAAATTTCCAAAATGGGTCCGAACTGATATTAACCATCGTGCCTTGCCACATTTAGTGTTCCGCAATGCGGCCCATATTGTGTGCTTGTGTGAAGCTTCCGATGAATACGGAGGAATTGCCGTCCATCGAGAACTTGCCGAAGAGTATGGAATGATCGGCATGGTAGTCCACCCGGCAATTCCATCACAGTCCGTTGCTATTTTTCTCCGTGGCTCACATGACGCCGGCTCGTTTATTGAACTTTTGTGTCATCATCAGATTGAAACAGCCAATAAAGATTCGCCTTTCTGGATTTTGCATGGCGCTATTTTTCGCCTTTGCCATGGCATGAATACGTCAGGAGAATTCGTTGACCCTTCTTCTGGCGCTCGTGTTCCGAAACCGGACATCGAGAAAAATGCCGAATCCGGGATTTTTCAGCATGATCGTCCACTTGCTTCGACGCTTGATTTTCTTGATCACTCGATCTGCGAGATTGACGGAGACGATGATCTTGCCGTTTCCGGCGTGGAAGTCACCGAAGTGAACCTTGGTGCTGATACTCATGACGTACGACGTCTTATGATGGGTGAATGCCGTGTTGCGGTTTTTCACATCTCTTCATATGCTTGGAGTGGTGCCTATCAAGAGACATGCCAGAAGTGGCTTAGTTTTATTGCCAGCTGCGTCGAGCACCAATGCGACTTTTTGTCCGGCGACGGCAACCTTTTCGCACAGCGAAGTTTTAAGTCTGGTGACCATTCTGATTACCGGACATGCATCATGATTGATATCCTGGAACGTTTCCTTCAGCAGATCAACCTTCACCGCAGTCCGATCAATCGTATTACGTATAACGTAGTTTCTTCGACCACTGCCGCTGATTACATGCGAAGCATGCAAGGAGAAGATGCTGATTGTGATTCAATGCTTTTAATTTCTCTATGTTACGGTAAGCAGATCGCTGTCACGGAAGCACGTGCCAAAGAGAGTTCCGCCTCTGCGGATGGATTTGCAGGATCAGCTTTTTCCGACGAAGTTATGTTGAACGATGTTGAACAGTTAAAACTTTTGTTGCCATATGATCTTGGCTTGGCAGAGAAAGACTGTGCATGGCACTCTCCACTTCTTGCATACACCCAACTAAAATCTTTGAAAAATATGCGCATCCGATCTAAGGAATCTGAAGACAAAAGACGTGAAAAATGGATGCATAAAACACAAGGATATCTCGACAAACGAGAAGAAAGGAGAGACAGTGTTCCGCCTTTGCGGACCGACTCACACCGGAATGTTGGACAGACTCGATCGCGATCAGTCAGCAGGAACAGGAGTTATCGTTCAAGGGCAGAAACACCACGGCCACCTCCTGCACCTGCAAGATCACCTGTAACACCGCCACAGGGTCCAACCGAAACTGCTAAGCCAGTTCGCTATAAGGCAGCTCCGGTGTCTCTCAAACAATCGTCAGTACCGAAGTCGTCGAGATCCTCATCAAGTGCCAGGCCGCCTGTAAAGGCTCCTCCAGTTCCGCCAGCCGGACGAGCATCAGGTTCACAACAGCCAAGAACGCCACCCGATCCGCCAGGTCCACCGAAGACTCCACCGCCGTGGAGAGAGAGATCGGAGCAGGCCGACCAGAGGCACACAACCAGAAAAAGACCGATTAACGTACCTGAGCCTCCTGCGCCTCCAACCCGCATGACGGGATCGCAATGGCTTGACCACGGAACAGCTTCCAGCTCTTCCGGATACCGTAATTACGGTTACACTTATGATCAGCCGTCCTACTATAGAGTGAATCCTCGTACCTCTAATGTAGAATACGTCCCAGGGTATCAAGTACCCAGACAGCGTTGGATTCAAAAATACGATGGATCGTGGCTTGACTTAATTCCGCAAACACCGGATCAGTCCATATTCTTTCATCAGGCCGGTGAGCTCAGAAGGAGGAACGAATTGAGTTTCTACGGTTACTATTTCACTATGGGCTTGTAGCCCCAAATATTTTGCAATGTTCCGCATTTGCGGTCGCTTGCCAACAGCCGAGAACCACCGCTTGCCAACAGCGGAGAGTAGCTTCTTGTACAGTTTTGTTTTTGTCTTCGGACCGTCTCACAGCAGATCACAGGCTGAGCGCTTCCTGTGAAACAGACTTGCATGTTCCGACACGAAGAAAATTTGTGTCTGTTTGTGATTTGTTTTGTTTTACGTGTCTACACAATGCTTTCATGTATGTTGACATGTACACTTAATTCATATCTTTCATGCGCACTCCGCGTGGCTCAAGACTAGCAAAGCCGCGTAGAAAAGAATCGCAGTCTTGCCGCTGACCGCAGGTGTTAGATCCGTAATTCAGGGCTCCCCTAATACGGGGATAGCTACCTCACCCCCCCCATTCGATTCCCCCCTGGTCCGCGCCCAAAAATGGATTTGATGCATGTTGATAGGGAACAGCCAACACAAAGAAGGGAGTTGATGTCACATGAAAGCATGTTGACACTTTGGGCATGAAACACGTTGTCCATTTACAAGGCCCTAGGGTTCAACAAAAGACTGCGCATCTCCAGCTTTCTTTTTGCAAACGAGAACCCAGGAATAAATAGCGACCAGAAAGATGGGATGCAGTTAATTGCATGAGCAAAAACAGCGGCTAGAAGAATGTAGACGTAGCTGACACAGCATGGTGTGGTGAATTATGGCTCTTGATACGATCAGTGCGCACGATGTTTCAGCAAAGATTTTACGTCGATTTCGCGCAGAGCACAACTGCCCACACCAGAAGTTTTTTGTTTTTAAGTTTGCTGCGCGTTGTCTTGCTTTTGCATCCTTTGGTCCACCTTGTTTTAAGAAACACCAGCAGGTCGATATTGACCGGGCGAGGTGAACCCCCCCCCATTCGATTCCCTCCTGGTCCGCGCCCAAAAATGGATTTGATGCATGTTGATATCCCTGAGCCGCAAGCCTTTGAATAGTTCCCACGAAACAAGGACGGTTTCGTCTCCTGCAATTGTTGATGTTGTTTTTGCTTCAGACATCTTCACGCACTTAGCCGCATGAAGGTTACATCCATAAAGACCTACACGCAAAGTGCCTCAACCGAGCGTCGATCGGTTGAGGCACCTTGGCCCCTCTAATTCACATAGGTTGCCAACAAACTGACCAACATTATCTTGCTTGTGGTTCTTAATACTGACTATGGCACGGGGTGGGTGGAATTTAGATATTGAGACAAGATGCATGCAGGAAGTTGTTGATGCCGGGGAAGTTCGGATATTGCAACAGCAAAAACGTAAGAAGTGGCGGAGAGGCCAATAGGGGAAGTCTACGTATGAAACGAAATTGATTCAGGAAAGAAAACAATAGCAGTATGTCCCTTCGCAGCGACACTTATTCCTGGGCCGCAAGCCTTTTAATAGTTCCCACGAAACAAGGACGGTTTCGTCCCCTGCAATTGTTGATGTTGTTTTTGCTTCAGACATCTTCACGCACTTAGCCGCATGAAGGTTACATCCATAAAGACCTACACGCAAAGTGCCTCAACCGAGCGTCGATCGGTTGAGGCACCTTGGCCCCTCTAATTCACATAGGTTGCCAACAAACTGACTAACATTATCTTGCTTGTGGTTCTTATTACTGACTATGGCACGGGGTGGGTGGAATTTAGATATTGAGACAAGATGCATGCAAGAAGTTGTTGATGCCGGGGAAGTTCGGATATTGCAACAGCAAAAACGTAAGAAGTGGCGGAGAGGCCAATAGGGGAAGTCTACGTATGAAACGAAATGGATGCAGGAAATTGAGAGGCACCTAGGGGGAAGGGAAAGTTCGATATATATTGAAACAGAATGAACGCAAAAAGTTGTTGAGAGATACCCCCACCTACCTTTCGTCCTCCCCCTCTCAAGTATACTTTTTGATGGGGCCCGAACTTTATGCTGTCACCATCTTTGCCTCACCAGAACATACGGCTCCATAACTTTTTTCTACCCCAGGTCAGCACTGAGTAGCTTTGAGCCCCATCAAAAATTATAATTTTGGATGGAACCCAAAATTTCCCCGGTACCAGGAACTTCTAACAGTTTGGCAGTCCGCCCAATAGCATTCTTTGATCCTCGGTCCAATCAAAAACATGTCTCGATAGGGGCCCAATTTTTTCCACTACCCATGTTCTTCGCGTCACATGTTATAGGACTGCAAGCTGAAAATTACACTTCTTCTGCGACACCCTCTTGAATCCTTCCATATGGATCACTGTCATCTACTCTTCCCTGCATGTTTCCGAGTTCACCTCACCTAGTCCCACATTCATATAACCTTTAGCTTTCGTTCACCACCCCTGGGCCTCAAGTGCATCCTATCCACTGATCAAAACCCTTAACGGGTTAACAGGTTAACACATTGCATTGATCAACCATAAAGAAATAGTTGACCAAGCATGCCCAGCCGTTAAAATTATCAACCATCAATGTCAGCAATCATCACAATGCTTCCACTTCAATCACAAATGGCAAACATGTTCATTACAGTTTTCGTTACTGAGTACTATCAACCGTCAAGAACCATCAATATCATCAATATCCAATCATTATCAACCAGCAGTTATAGCTGATAATTCAACAGTATGCAGCCATCATCAACCATCAGTAACCATTAATATTAATGTGCATGGATATACTCATCATGTTAACCCCATTATCATCATATATGAGTCACGAGTAATCAATCAGATATTAGTCATTTTTTTGAGTAATCATCATGTTTATCACCGCATTAGCCATCAAATAACCATCAAATATCCATCATAACCAGGTGAATTGCAGTGCCCTCGTTTCGTCAGGTGATCGATGCCTGTTGGATGAGATGAGTACTGACCTCTCGGATTTTGGAACGCAAGACTTGGCCAACGTGGCTTGGGTGCCTGGGCTTGATCAAAACGGGGATCGGCCAGCAGTGTGGCTGGTTTTTGTAGTTTTGTTTCAGCGGTGTCAGAAGCTATGACGAAAAAATGGTCAGGGTGGGGATCCGAAGTAAAGTAATTTATGGTTTGTTTCTTTATTGGCTAGCTCTTATAGAACAAATGAGAGCATGACATTTTCAACAGCTTTCAATTCGACCCCCATAATTTTCGCACAAAACCAGATCTGTGGGGATACTGCCAGCTCTCAGAATCGACTTTGGATCTATAGTCTTGTGGTTTCATGTGGTTTCATGGTTTTCATGGTTCCAAAACCCCTTTTTTGACGTGTCTCACGACAAGTCGCTTAAAAAAGAGCTTTGATTTGAGGATCCTTAGACCAAGGTTTGCTGAGCTCTCAGGCAATGGCTGTGCAGTTGGTCACCAGCGAACCCTTGGTGGTGGCCCTTGCAGTGGAAGCTGAAAGGTCTGCCCGTGTGTTGCCATGGGGTCAGATTGTTACAGTACTATATACATCCATACTACCCATGGTTTTTCGGGGTTAGATAGGGAATTATCAGTAGGAATAGCCTTTTGCAACCATTACCGGGCTCCGAGTAATCCCTATAATCCCAGACGATGTGATTGTTGTAGGGCCTCTATAGGCACTGTATCCCAGGAACTGGGAGCCCCTAAAAGCCGGCCATGAAGCTTTGGTTCCTGGCCAGGTGTCGATTTGTAGCTTAAAAGAATCTCAGTGTAGCCATTCCTGCAAAACTAGGCGTTTGACCTCTATATAATGGGAACTGATCATGTCAGTTTTTCTTGTTGGAATTAAGCTTGCAAAGGTTGATGATGATCAGTTTTGTCCCCTGCAGAAGTACGATTTCGAGTCCGATGACCTTGGTTTGCTCCTTAATGATTCTAGTGGATTGACTGACTTGACATGTTCTCCAAAGCTTTTGCCTGAATATTAATGAAGATTGGCCGGCCCCGGCTGGAATTTTTCCGGGTTGAAGAAATCTTAACTTTTAAGTAATTTTCCTGGCATTCAGGTGTTGTCTCATTACATTCAGGTGTTACGTCTGCGGTTTGACTCAGACGCAAGGCAACTGCACGCACTTTTTTCTTTGCTTTTTGTAACACAGTCATGCTCTGGATTTTACATTCTACGGGTTGCAATGCTGAACTAAGGTGCACCATGTACAATGTAATCTTCAATCAAATGAATGTTTATAGGTATAGTATATTTATAGGTTATATTGGTACTGTGTGTCTGTGCAATGATTCGAATAATTGTGCTGTATGATATTGTGCTGCAATGATGGTGTTGGACTGTTTGCCATTGGCACTGATATGCTCATACCGCAACACTTGCAAACAGTGACCCTTATCACGCAACATAATCCCATAGAAAGATCGACTAACATGGCTTTCATGGCCAAAAGATATCAAATTCAAGCTTGGCTGAAAAACCGTCATGGGCAGTGCATGACTTCAAAGCATGTTCATGCAGGGCGTCCCGGCACACGTGATGATAAAACGCAACCCAGTCTTTCACCATCTTTGGCGCAGTGAGCAATACAGCGCATTCGCCTTTTTCATTAGTCAATCAAAATCAGACTTTCATTGCCAGCACATAATTCGGGTTCCTGCAGGTTTGCTTGCATTGAAATCATGTTCCTGCTGCTGTTGTCCCCTGCCATTCAAATTGCGGCTATTTCTTGAGCCGATTTGCAAACTGTTTTACTTTGAAGGACGCCCTGCATGAACATGCTTTAAAGTCATGCGCTGCCCATACCAGTTTTTCAGCCAAGCTTGAATTTGAGATTTTTTATTGGTGATTAAAACTGTGTCAGTCAGTCTTTCTATCGGTTTATGTTGCGTTCATTGTTTGCAAGTGTTGCTGTTTGAGCGTGGCAATGCCATGCAATGCCAATAGCAAACAGTCCAACACCATCATTGCATCGCAATTATCTCAATCATTACACAGACACACAGTACCAACCGAAAATGAGATATACATATATATATATATGTGGCAGGGACCTTTTGGTATAATGCGACCGTCCTCCTTTCTGATCCCATTTGTTTCCATACTTGTCTCCTTGTCTGTTCCCAACTTGTCTCCTTATTGCTCTATCTCCATTGCGATTCTTCTCTCTGGGTGCTTTCGGTCAAAGGAATCTCCTTGTCTCCCGTTCCTCACTTCTCTCTCCATTGCTCAGTGTTCTTCGTTCTGGTGGTTTGGGGACAGGACTCAAGTCCCATCTGTTTTCGTACTCGTCTCTCTACTTCACTCTCATATGTGGCTGTTCTCTCTGGGTGCTTCCGGGGCACAGTATGCTCCTTGTCCTCTGTCTGTCTCCGTGCTTGTCCCCCTTGTTCTCTCCAACTCGTGCCCTTACTTCTCTCTCTCTCTCTCTTTCTCTCTCTCTCTCTCTCTTGCTGTTCTTCTCTCTAGGTGCTTATTTGGACACATGATTCTCTCTGGTTCCTCACTTGTCCTCCCTTGTCCTCCCTTGTCCTCCCTTGTTCCCTCCAACGTGTATCCTTAATTCCCTCCTCATTGCTGCTGCTGCTTGGGAAAGAACGGATTTCCTGGCCTCTTGTGTTTCTCCTTAACTTTTCTTCCTTTGTTCAGGTCACATTCCCTTACCCTCGGTCTCTACCACATGTTACCCTACTTACCTTCCTACGTGTCTCCAACTTGTCTCCGTATTCTCTCTCCACTACCGTGCTTCTTTCCAGGTCTCCGGCATTTGGGAGGGAGAGGATAATTTTTCTCCTCTTTCCTTTCTTTCCTTCCTTGTCCCTGTGGTCTTTCCCAGCGCTTTCTTCACTTCTCTCCTCATTCCTGTTGTTCTCGCTTTTGGGACCCAAGATTCCCCTTGTCTCCCATGTGTTCCCATCTGTGTCCTTATTTAGCCAATTTTTTCCTACTTGCTGTTTTGTCTAGGCTTCAGGACCTCTTCATTTCTTTTTGTTCCTCCCTGTTACTGTTCTTCTTCCTGGGTGCTTCTGGGCACAGGATACTTTTCGTGGTGCTCGATGGCAAAGGATTCTTCTTGCCTCCCATTTGTTTCCATACTTGTCTCCTTGTCTGTTCCCAAACTTGTCTCCTTATTTCTCTATCTTCATTGCGATTCTTCTCTCTGGGTGCTTTCGGTCAAAGGAATCTCCTTGTCTCCCGTTCCTCACTTCTCTCTCCATCGCTCAGTGTTCTTCGTTCTGGTGGCTTTGGGGACAGGACTCAAGTCCCATCTGTTTTCGTACTCGTCTCTCTACTTCACTCTCACATGTGGCTGTTCTCTCTGGGTGCTTCCGGGGCACAGTATGCTCCTTGTCCTCTGTCTGTCTCCGTGCTTGTCCCCCTTGTTCTCTCCAACTCATGCCCTTACTTCTCTCTCTCTCTCTTGCTGTTCTTCTCTCTAGGTGCTTATTTGGACACATGATTCTCTCCGGTTCCTCACTTGCCCTTTCTTGTTCCCTCCAACGTGTATCCTTAATCCCCTCCCCATTGCTGCTGCTGGGGGAAGAATGGATTTCCTGGCCTCTTGTGTTTCTCCCTGCCTTTTTTCCTTTGTTCAGGTCACATTCCCTTACCCTCAGTCTCTACCACGTGTTACCCTACTTACCTTCCTACTTGTCTCCAACTTGTCTCCTTATCCTCTCTCCACTACCGTGCTTCTTTCCAGGTCTCCGGCATTTGGGACGGAGAGGATAGTTTTTCTCCTCTTTCCTTTCTTTCCTTCCTTGTCCCTGTAGTCTTTCCCAGCGCTTTCTTCACTTCTCTCCTCATTCCTGTTGTTCTCGCTTTTGGGACCCAAGATTCCCCTTGTCTCCCATGTGTTCCCATCTGTGTCCTTATTTAGCCAATTTTTTCCTACTTGCTGTTTTGTCTAGGCTTTAGGACCTCTTCATTTCTTTTTGTCCCTCCCTGTTACTGTTCTTCTTCCTGGGTGCTTCTGGGCACAGGATACTCTTCGTGGTGCTCGATGGCAAAGGATTCTTCTTGCCTCCCATTTGTTTCCATACTTGTCTCCTTGTCTGTTCCCAACTTGTCTCCTTACTTCTCTATCTCCATTGCGATTCTTCTCTCTGGGTGCTTTCGGTCAAAGGAATCTCCTTGTCTCCCGTTCCTCACTTCTCTCTCCATTGCTCAGTGTTCTTCGTTCTGGTGGCTTTGGGGACAGAACTCAAGTCCCATCTGTTTTCGTACTCGTCTCTCTACTTCACTCTCACATGTGGCTGTTCTCTCTGGGTGCTTCCGGGGCACAGTATGCTCCTTGTCCTCAGTCTGTCTCCGTGCTTGTCCCCCTTGTTCTCTCCAACTCGTGCCCTTACTTCTCTCTCTCTCTTTCTCTCTCTCTCTCTCTCTTGCTGTTCTTCTCTCTAGGTGCTTATTTGGACACATGATTCTCTCTGGTTCCTCACTTGTCCTCCCTTGTCCTCCCTTGTTCCCTCCAACGTGTATCCTTAATTCCGTCCTCATTGCTGCTGCTGCTTGGGAAAGAACGGATTTCCTGGCCTCTTGTGTTTCTCCTTAACTTTTCTTCCTTTGTTCAGGTCACATTCCCTTACCCTCGGTCTCTACCACATGTTACCCTACTTACCTTCCTACGTGTCTCCAACTTGTCTCCGTATTCTCTCTCCACTACCGTGCTTCTTTCCAGGTCTCCGGCATTTGGGAGGGAGAGGATAGTTTTTCTCCTCTTTCCTTTCTTTCCTTCCTTGTCCCTGTAGTCTTTCCCAGCGCTTTCTTCACTTCTCTCCTCATTCCTGTTGTTCTCGCTTTTGGGACCCAAGATTCCCCTTGTCTCCCATGTGTTCCCATCTGTGTGGGACCCAAGATTCCCCTTGTCTCCCATGTGTTCCCATCTGTGTCCTTATTCAGCCAATTTTTTCCTACTTGCTGTTTTGTCTAGGCTTTAGGACCTTCAGGTGGTTTTGGGGGCCATAAACATTACCGAGTCCCTCATTTGTGTCCCTTCCGTCACCGCCTTCTTGCAGTCTCCTCTCTTCATTGCTTTTGGCCCTCCCTGTTACTGTTCTTCTTCCTGGGTGCTTCTGGGCACAGGATACTCTTCGTGGTGCTCGATGGCAAAGGATTCTTCTTGCCTCCCATTTGTTTCCATCCTTGTCTCCTTGTCTGTTCCCAACTTGTCTCCTTACTTCTCTATCTCCATTGCGATTCTTCTCTCTGGGTGCTTTCGGTCAAAGGAATCTCCCCTTGTCTCCCGTTCCTCACTTCTCTCTCCATTGCTCAGTGTTCTTTGTTCTGGTGGCTTTGGGACAGGACTCAAGTCCCATCTGTTTTCGTACTCGTCTCTCTACTTCACTCTCACATGTGGCTGTTCTCTCTGGGTGCTTCCGGGGCACAGTATGCTCCTTGTCCTCTGTCTGTCTATGTGCTTGTCCCCCTTGTTCTCTCCAACTCATGCCCTTACTTCTCTCTCTCTCTCTTGCTGTTCTTCTCTCTAGGTG